AATATAACTAGAGGTCACCAGCTAGGGCAGCGGGGTGAGAAGCGGCACCTGGGGGAGACTGGGGGTTGCAGGGGAAGAGTGGCAGGGCATGCAGAGGCAGTGGGGTGGGCAGCCAGCTGTTGCAGCTTTGGGAAGGGCAGCCTTGTCTTCTAATCAAGTAAATAAGGTATGTCTTATATATAGGAAGAATAGGAAGGGGATGTTGTATATCACTGCTTTCTAGAGCACAGTTGGGTTGGACATGTTAGTCATTGTCAGCACCTTTGCTGTGTCAGTTCTCTGAACACTTCCAGGCCCTAATGTTTGAAAGGCCAAATCTGAGACTGCAACCAGGAGATGTGAAGCTGGACTCAGTGGCTCAGGCCATCCTAGCTAGTCTCTTAGGCAGGGGTGGGCAAAATACTGCCTGCAACTGGCCCACCAAGTAACTTTATTCAGCCTGTGGCAGGTCCCTCAACCCTGCCTGGCCCAGTCACAGGGGGCAGCCCAGGTCATGGCACTTGCAGCCTGTCCTGCCACCCCCAGGCATGCAGCAGGACTGGGCTGGTTCAGTGGCCAGACTACGCTTCCCAGCAGCCCTGGGAGCAGCAGTTCCTTCTGGCTGCTGCCAGACTTGGCCCCACTACCTGGGCACCTCAGCCTGTCCACCCTACACCCACTGTCCAAGGACTATGGACAGAGTGGGCAGGTGGGGTCTCTGTGGAGACTGGCCAGGGACCCACACAGGTAGGGTGTGTTCAGCCAGGGGGATGAGATGGGATCACAGGCAGGTGGGGAGTGGCATCCAAGAGTGGGACCAGTGGAACTGGGGCAAGGGCCAGGATTGCAAGGCATTGACAGTGCAGAGCCAGGGCCCAGGGCAGGCCATGATCTGCTGCCCACACAGCCCTGCAACGGGTGCTGGTTCTGTGGGCAGGGGAATGCTGGGAGCGGATTGCGGCTCTGCTCTGGGCTCTAGTCTTGTACTGTCACCACCTGCAATCCTGGCCCCAGCCCACACCTGCCTGCCCTGCTTCCAGACATCGCTCCCCACCTGCCCACAGCCCCATCCCATCCACCCGACCGAGTGCACCCTGCCCATGTGGGTCCCACACTGGTCTCCATGGAGACCCCTGGATTGTCAGGTGGTGACAGTGTGGGGTCAGGCCCCAGGGCAGAGCCATGTAGAGAGTTTTGGTGACCTGTTTCAGCCCAGAGTGCAGGGAAGGAGGGTCGTGCTGACCCAGTGGGGTATAGGGGGTGCTGACTGGTCCATGACAGCTTATTAAAACTCCCGAAGTGGCTCTCTAGCCCATATGGTTGCCCACTTCCTCTCTTGGTGTCAGGGAGAATACAGTTTTTAAACTGTGTGCTTACTTGCAAGCAGCTCTTCCAAGAAGGCCTTATCAGCCTTGATGTCCTTGTCATCCTCTTTGTTGCAGGTATCTTGCTGGAAGACCTTTAGGAAGGCCTGTTGCTGCTCAGCCTGCAGTAGGAGTGAGAGCCCTTGAGCAGCATCTCCAAGACACACATTCACCTGCATGAACTCTTCTTTAATATCACTGGCTTGAAAGAACTTCTGTAGCCATGTCTTCTGGCTGTACTTTGTCACCAGCTCTTGGGCCTTCTCCAAAGTCTTCAACAGTCCCTTCAGGGTCTTCTCTACTGGAGGGGAGATTTGTTGTGGAGTCTGCGCCTTGAGGATCTTTATAGGTCTCATTAGGGTTTGAATGCGGTCCCTGAGGCGTTTGCACTGGGACTGACAGTACTTCACATGTTCACATTGGGTGTAGATGACCTGGGCTATGTTCAGGACCTTCTCTGCTATTTCCATATCTGAAATTAAGGGAATTTTTCCATCAGAAATATGGCGCACACTGTGCTGGGAGTGAAAGCTGGCTTCTATTTTTCCTTTAACTCATTTGTCTTAATACGATAGGATTACCATAATTATCCTATCCTATCCTATTCTTGCCATGTGGGACAGCCTCTCTGAATCTCTGCCTCACTGACTTAAGCGATGGATGAGCCTCTAAAAAAGGATGCAATTCATCTCTGTGAAGAAAGCTAAAACAAACTCCAGTTTTCTGCTTAAGTCTGACTTAAGCTCTCATGATACCAGAAACTTGTACTGGCTTTGTGCACAGGGATGAGTTGCAACCCAGATTTGGAGGGAGCTGGCGTTCATTTTGGATAATAATTTAGCTTCTTCTGGTAATTGAACCATCCAAACCTATTGAGTCCACTGTACGTGGCTGGGAGTTCCACTACAGCTGGCTCTCCCGTGAGGTTTCCAGAGGTTCTGCTAACAACCAGGACAGCAACCATGCCTCGTATTCTATTTTACCTTTATTTCAGGGATCTAGGCTGTAACCATGTTGGTCTAAACACAGAGGCAACTTTTTTGCAATTATTTGGTTGGTTTAATAAAAGACATTGCCTCTACCCAAAGAGTTCATTTTACCTTTATGCATCTAAGTGCTACCACACTTAGCACACTTACTACAGTTATTATTACAGTAACTATTCCCCATCTAAATTTAGACACCCGTGACACTTGCTGATATTTATGTGAATTTTAGGTCTTATTGCTACCTGCATAACTAGACTTGTTCTTCTGAGTGTGCTTAGAAGGGATCCATTACAGGCACTTATTCACTGTTGTAATCCTATTCAATCTGGAAAAGCATGCACTTCTGTGTAAGTCTTTAAAACTATTGCGGGGGGGGATCCTGAACACACCTTACCCTTTTTTGCTGTTCTGTGTGTGTCACTACATTCCTCCTAACAGATACTATGATCCCATAAGCAGTTCAGTCTGAATCATGACAATTACCATGTGAAAAAAGCTGATTGTGAGGGCCAGGTTAAAGGATTTTGAGATGCAGAGGCTGATGCTAATAAGGTGACTCTAGGAGGGAACAATGGTCACAGGTCACCACTCAGTTTCCCTGCTATTTACTCAATTGTCCAAAAGATTATCTCAGAGAAATGGGTGAAATATAGAAATCTGAACCTGAACTATATAAAACTTCACACAAAGGCAGAGGTGTAGGAGTCTGGAACTTGGAACAGATTCTAAAGACGTATCTGGGGAAAACCCAGATGTATGGTAACCCTAAATGTGACGACCCAGTGGGGTGCTGCGGGTGCTCGACCACCTGGGCGACAGCA